CCGTTCTTAATTCTTTCATGGCTTTCGACTCACTCTTCGACATGCAGTGGGCTGGGCGGTGTGTCATCAGTAAGGAGTTGACCCATTACCGAACCGAATGTTTTTCTTCGTCTATTATTTCAGTCCGCACAAGCATGGCCTCTAGAGCTGCAATGAAATCGACTGGGTCGGCATCGGCGGTGTTAAAACAAGCTTCATGCTGGAGTACTCGTAGTTGCTCATCCGCTAGTTGCTTGGAGGATAGGTTATGTACAAAGTTAGAGCTTCCCGTGTCGGGTGGTTTTAGTTTCTTAGGTTTCTGCTCCAAGATCACTCGCTTCTTAATTTGTCTAAGACGCGCCAGGGCAGCGATTGTCTGAGCGAGGTCCTCCCCGTTGCAGTCTAAGGAGACAGTGGCAACTGGCGAAGCCAAGGCTGGTCCTGACTGCGTCCAGCCAGGACTGAGAGTGTCGACTGTGTTTTGTGTGGGGTGATGACGGTTGCTTTTACATGGCTGTGAAGCGAGTTCAAGTTTTCTGTCATTGGTGTGTTGCAACTGCCCGAGCGGATGTCGCCTGTAGAGGTCTTTGCTGCATCTGCCGAGGGGTGGTGTATGCAAGTGGCACTTAAGCAGGTAGGCTTATTTTTACGCACGTGTGTACGGACTAAGTTAGCTGAGATCAACAATAGGGGACCGCAGGAACGCCGAAGGACAGGGGACGCTGACGCAGCTGTTATCGGTTAGCCAGGGGCAGCTGCCAGGTCAAGCCTCGGGGGCGGGGCGCCAGGGAAAGAAAGCATTGTAAAATTTGTTTGTGACGTCACGACTTTGGGGCAGCGAGCCTTGGACAACGAAGGGGTAAAAGGCATTGTGGCTGTCCACCACAACTCCAACGAAGAACATTTAAAGACAACCTGACGACTGGCGTAATTAAAAAAATTGCAAGAGGCACAGTCCACGAGGCAGACTCTATCAATTTGATTGCTAAGCAAGCCAGATGTTCCTTTCTTTCTTCTTATGCTCCATACGGCCGCCTGAAAGACTCTTCGAGAAACTTCATCAAAACAGAACGGCACTCGTCTCTGCTGGTTTTGTACATTCGCAACAGCTCAGGATATCTCCGTTTACTTAAATTCTGTTCTCTACATGCTCACCTGCCTTCCATTTGGACTTGAGCTGGAAATAACCTTTGCAGGAAAAAGATAAGAGCGGAATTCCCGATATCTGACATGTGTTTGTTTTCGTCCTATTTGCATTTCACAAAATAAGATCTGGAATACCTACTCCCCTAGCTGACAACGGCAAATGAACCAAAAATGGTCATTCTTGTTGTAACGGTAGCCAAGGCCGAGATGTCACTGCCTGATTACGTCTTGTGTGAGTCCCCCAAGGAAGAACACGACAAGAAGTGGGCAAATGCAGAAGTCTTCGAGTGTAGCTAGTATAATATATTTAGGGAAACAAACGCGTGTAATACGATGTTCATCGAGCCAATCAGCTTCTGTTCTGGCGTGGTTAGTGGAAAGATTGACTGGTGACTCGACGGCTGAGTGTAACTTGAATTATATATTATCGATTGATTGGCAGGCAGTATGCGTTCACCTCGTGTAGGCCGATTGATAGCCTGTTGTGGGCGCGGCTGCTTGCTGCATACCATCTGCCTGTTAGGTTCGCCCTAACACTCCCCCTTTTGAGACGAATCGTAGGATTTGAGCTGCGGGTTTACTTGTAACGGAAGCGTTTGCATTTTTTTCCGGCCTGATCGTCTAGATGCCGAAGTGCGTGTCTTTTTAGCACTCGGTGCTATAATGGAGGTCTAGGCCGCAATATTACCGCGCAATGCGTCACCAAATTGTTGACGACGCAACGGCCTAGGCCAAAATATTCGCCGTCTAACTATGAATCATTTGAAATCCCAAAGAGAGAACACGACAGGAAGTGTGCAGAATCGGAAGTCTTTGAGTGTTCCTTGTACAACATATTGAGGGAAACAAACGTATGTCAATGATGTCCCATGAGCCAATAATATTCTCTCCTGAGGTAGTGGCCAGTCTAATTGACTGCTTGGCTCAGTGAGTGAATATAGCTAGAAATTCAAATTATCGATTGATTGTCTATCTTGAAGTGTTAGCTCGCGCATAGGCCGATCGATAGTCTATTGTGGACGCGGCTATGGTTCGAAAACTACTGCTTGCGAAGGCTGTTGTTAGGCCTCCCTAATACCTCGCCC